CCCTACAAATGCATCCATGGCATCTGTGGGTCTGTTCACCTTGGTTTGGTACCAAGCCTCTGCCTCAGCTCGGCTCCTGTTGGCAATGTCCTCGTACTGAGCTTTGACTTCAGCTATGATGCTACTGAGATCCAGGTCCCGGTTGTTGTCCATTGACAGAATGACAGCGGTGTCAGACACTTGTGCGCTGAGCTGAGCCAGCTCCTGTGAGGAAGCACACAGGATCCTGACCAGCTGCACTTACCTTTTCAAATGCCATGAATGATGGCAGTCACTGTCCAGGAGGTGATAACAGGACAGAAATCAGAGAAGAATGTCTGTACCGCTTCGTAGAGTGCTCGGAGGAAACTGAGTTCATCAGTCAGGGCATCCACCTTGGCCTCCAGCTCCACTTTATTCATGTAAGCAGCATCTACATCCTGGAAAAGAGCAACCATGGGACATCTGGAGCATCTGGTACTTCTTCTTTAGCTCAGTCAAGAACTAGCCAAGCCTGGAGATGATGAGGCTGCCCCTTTCACTGCTGCCTGATTGGAGAAGCTGTGCTTGGTACATCCCCCTGGAAGAGCACCCAGAGAACACCTCTTATCCAAAAGAAGTTCTGTGTGTAGCTTTGTTAGTGGATAAGGAAGGGGGTGCAGGCTACTTGGCCTTGATATTGGGGGTTCCTGGCACTGCTGACCACCTTTGTTTCTTCATGGTCTGTTTTGCCCAGGCAAGCATGTGTGTATGTTGTGGGACAATAATTTAATTCCACCCTCCAAGCTCCTTCATTCCTTTCCCCCAAAACCACAATCCAAATGTGATTTGGATTTAAAGGATGAGGATGGCTTTTAAAGGATGAAGATGCAGCTCCATGAGATATCCCATTCTTTAGGACATTCCCAGACTGTCCAATGGTTAGGGTTAGCTCAGCATCCATAATACCTCCTATCTCACCCACCTTCTTCAGCACCACAAATTCATTCTCTGCCGCTGTGCGTCGGTTGATTTCCTCTTCATATCTGTAGGGATAAAAGGAAAGATGTGCTGGATCATACCTCGGTAAGCAGAGAAGTGGTATAGGTAGGACTGGAAGGTTATCTGGGCTGGGTATGGAGTCTACAAATCAGCCTCTTGGAAACTATCCAGCTCAAATTTGTAAGAATCCTGTTTCTCAAAAGGTTAAAATGATATTTTCACATAATGCAGATGGAACAAGGAGGGTAAAGCTTGTTTAGATGATTTTCCTTTGCAAGTGTCATCACAAGTTGTTGTGTCCTGGCTGAATGTGCATTTTCTGATTGGAAAAATGTTGATGGACCACCTTTCTGCTGCTGTCAAGGAAGACAGAGGTTCTGCAGGGAGAGATACCTCACAGGAGTCCTATATTAGACTGGGAGTAGTTAAGTGTGGGCTAGAGGACAGACTGGAGATACAATTTTTCCCTTTCCTGGAGAAAGTTTGATTAATATCTCAGGATAGATGTTTGATTTTCAGAAAGCTAAATTTAAGTGAGATTAATCCTACTGCCTCATGCTAAGCTGAACCATTCCCGTTTCACCCCAAGGAGCCTGGATGTGCCACTAACAGGCACTCACTTGTTCTTGAAATCCTCAACGAGGTCTTGCATGTTCTTCAGCTCCCCATCCATGCGTCCTCTCTCATTGAGCAGGTTGGCCAGCTGTCGTTTCAAGTTGTTGATGTAAGCCTCAAAGAGTGGGTCCAGGTTGCTTTTGCCTGAGTTGTTTTTTTGACCCTGGTCCTGCAGGAGGGTCCATTTGGTCTCAAGTACCTTGTTCTGCTGCTCCAGGAAGCGAACCTGAGTATTGAGAAGTAGAAGAGGGTTAGCAGAAGATACCTGTGAACACGCTGATGGACAATACTCAACAGCTGGGAGTGATGCATAGCACAAACCAAGGAGATCTCCAAACTAAGGGTATTAAATCCAGCTGTGAATATCCTCCAGATTATCTAGGGCTATGTTAACCCATCCAGTAGCTCAGCAAATCTGCCCTCAGTGGACAGTTCTCTTTAGAGACAATTTAATTTAGCAAGCCAATGAGCAATCATTAGAAAATGTGGGTTCAGCTCTTTCATCCCTCGCTTTCTTCAACATCCTTTGGGTTTTCTTTCTTTGTCAGAGATATTTATCTTTCTTCATTAAAGCGAAGATCTGAGTGCTACAGGTTAAAAAACAGGTACTTAATTGCTTCTCCTTTTGCTCATATATTCTACCCACTTACCCAGGTAAAAGTCAAGGAAGGACTTAAGTTGAGTCAATACAAAAAGGACTTTAGCTTGCAGGCAATAAAGCAATAAGGACTAACACGTCTGCTGTGGTTCCTCACAGAGAGAGCTGGGTTAAGCAGCTAGGTCTGGACCTGGAACTGGCTTATTCCATGTGAGCTGATAAATCTTCTTTCTCAGGCACAAAACCTGGATCTAATCCTTTTATCAGTAGTTCCTGGTGTCTAGTGTTCTGCCTTGTAACTGTTTAGAAGAATGTTCTGTTTTGATTACTTTAATGAAGCCATGCAGAGAGGAAATATGCAATCGACTGTAGATCATAAAATCACAGAATCGTAGTGGTTGGAAAAGACCTTTAAGATCATTGGGTCCAACCATAAACTCAACACTGCCAATTCCACCTCTAAACCACGTCCCTCAGCACCTCCTCTACCCATCTGTTAAATACCACCAGGGAAGGTGACTCCACCACCTCCCTGGGCAACCTGATCTATGAAGTCATATTTTTGTAGCTATAAGACTGTCGCGCTCCCTCTCCATCATGATTCCACAGCACTTGATGGAGTCTTACCTTGTCAATGAAAGAAGCAAACTTGTTGTTGAGGGTCTTGATTTGCTCCTTCTCATCTTTTCGTACTTGATGGATGTTTGGATCTATCTCCAGGTTCAGTGGTGCCAGAAGGCTCTGGTTGACAGTCACTTCTTGGATTGTAGCAACTCCAGGTGGACCACCACCAAATCCCACTGGGTTCCTGCCACCACCCAGACCTCCACTGAATCCTCCCAACCCTCCTACTCCACCAAAGCCAAACCCTCCACCACCTCCCTGTCCACCACCAAAGCCAAGCCCACCAGCACCTCCACGGAAGCCATATCCACCACCTCCACCACCAAGACCAAGTCCAAGACTGCCACCAGCTCCGCCACCACCAAGTCCGCAGCCACCACCACTGCCACCTCCCAGGCCAGAGCCACCACTACCAGCTCCACTCCCAAAAGCAGCTCGGAAGCTGCTTCCAACACCAATGGATATCCTCTTGCTACCACCAAGGTTGTAGAGACTCCTGCTGCCAAAACCACCACCACTACCACCGCCACCTCCTCCAATCAGCCTTCCAAAACCACCTCCAACTCCTCCAGATCGTGCCACAGACATCGAACTAAAGCCAGCCCTGTTGCTACTTGGAATAATAGCAGACACAGTGCTGTAAGATCTGCATCCACCTCCCGTTCTCATGCTGTAAGTTTGACGGTTCATCACAGCAGGAGATAACAGCCCAGCACTGGCAAGAAGAAGCAAATAGAGAGTGCAGCTCTCTGATAGAAGGGAGTGTGGGATGCCCTTTATATCCCCCTGGGGATCTGGGCTTGGTTGCATGGAAGTCCAGTGATCAATTTAGTGCCTTCATGGTTTTGACATGCCAGGCAGCCAGCTGTCTTACTGAAACTCATTAAACACTGATTGCACCCAAACACACCTACTGGGTGCGAATCTGCCCAGCTAGAAGAGTTATCTAACTCCTCAATTTTTGGCAGTGAGAGCTCAGCCTTAGTGCATCTGTGTGCTTGCAGAGATGTCTTATTTTATTTTTTACAAGAAATAAAAAAGGGTGAAAAAAGAGAAATAGCTACCTGGATACCCCTACGCTACTTAGAATCATAGAATCATAGAATGGTTAGGATTGGAAGGGACCTTAAAGATCATCCAGTTCCAACCCCCCTGCCATCAGCAGGGACACCTTCCACTAGACCAGGTTGCTCAAAGCCTCATCCAACCTTGCCTTCAACACTTCCAGGGAGGGGGCATCCACAACTTCCTTGGGCAACCTGAGCCAGTGTCTCACCACCCTCACTGTGAAGAACTTCTTCCTAATCTCTCATCTAAACCTCCCCTCTTTCAGCTTAAACCCATTTCCCCTTGTTTTGTCATTAACTGCCCTTATGAAAAGTCCTTCCCCAGCTTTCTTGTAGGCCCCCTTCAGGTATTGGAAGGCTGCCATAAGATCTCCCCAGAGCCTTCTCTTTTCCAGGCTGAACAGCCCCAGCTCTTTCAGCCTGTCAAGATGCAGTCGATCAGTGTAGAGCTTAGCAGACAGTCCTCTGAACCAACTTGAGTGAGAGGCAGTGAGAATAAAATGGTTAAATCTGAACAAAAAATATTTCCCACGGCTTCTTCATCAGAGGGCAGAGTGCAGGTGTGATATTTATGAAGCCTGACATCTCTTTCAGGACTCTCATTTATCCAGTCTACCTGTTCACACTAGGTGGGCAGAGACCATCTTTTTGAGCTGAGTGGCACAAAAAAATCCTGATCCATGATTTTCCTCTGAGTATATTTAAAGATCACCTCAAATTTTGGCTTTTAGTGTTAGATACTTAGTCTACGGTAGGTTTCCCAGGTTTCCTTTCTTGAGAGGCTGACATCTCCAGAGGACAACTCCATCCCACCCAGAGGCTGCCGTCGCGATGTCTCCAGCCAACTGATGATGTGATCGATGCATTTTCATCTTGATCTAAAAAGCATTTCAATGAAAGAGACAGATTTTCTGAAAACCACTGTGCCCAGCTTTGAGGAACAGTATTATTTGCATGTTCACATTAAGATATAATCAGTCTTGAGTTTCTAGCTCTTTACAACTGTGATTTCTTTTAAAGACCTTTGAACCTTTCCATCAGAATCGTTGCCAAAAGCAAAGATTCAACCAGCATGAAAAATATTCCCACAAATTCTCCTTATTTTCCTTCCTGGACTCACTGGGGGAAAAAAAGCAAATTCAATAGGGTGTGGTGATATTTTGTGACATCTCAGGCTTTGTGGAACTGCAATGTTTACAGTATTTTATTCTTCATATTTCAGAGCTCAGTTCTTTTTCAGCATGTTGCTGTCCTGGTGGCATTGCCCACACTGTGCACATGACTGGAGCTTAAACATATTTGCAGGACAGGACTCTACATGCCCTTTGAAATACATTCGTGTGCCTCAGTGCTACAAAACCATTAAGTATGAACTAAAAATCCCACTGGCATCTCTGGAAGAAAAATTAAACAGGTGCTTCATGTTCTACCAAATGCAGAAGACCAAATATCTGATTATCCTTGGAGAAATGCTGCTAGGCAGGCTCAAACTGGGAGAGTTGGGTCACTCAAATAGAATTTCCCATTGCAGTGTAAAATTCCCAGTTGGTACCGGTTGACTTGCTTCTCTTCAGAAGATGCTGGTCTGAATCTGCCTGGGATGTCACTTGAAATTCATGAACAGCTATTGCCTTGATTATTTGCATAAAATTCAAAGCACGGGTGGGATGGGAAAATGAGTTTGTCTTCATGCTTTCTTGACCCCAGTAAAGCCAGATTGTCCTGAAGCTGACAAACGGGTTCGGATCAGATATTAGAGCTGAATGAATATAATAGGATTAAAGGTGGGGCTGCCAACAAGAGAGAGGGAATTGTCATTTTCAGCTCCCACACTCTTTTCCTTCAGCCCACTGTCCACAAGGTATGTGAGCAACGCAAAGGCTGGGTGAAAAATGCAGCGTTTCATTACCGCACTGGTTAATTGTGTGGAGGAGCTGAGGTTTGTGGGCTCCATGCCCAAAGGCAGATGTGGCTTTTTGCATCTATCAGTTTGGACCAACTCTGCTAGACTCTGTCAAGGGACATGTCCAGAGTGACAGAGTGATTTGGCCTCTAAACTGCCCCAAAATACGTGCTCCTAGCCTTTTTTTTCTCCAAAATACCCTGATTTACATTAACACTTTGAAGCAGGTAGCAGAAAATGTGGGTTTTGCAATACTTGGGGGTTGAGAAGGGCAGGGATGATTAAAGGTATTCTTCCAGAAAGAGCTGCTGGGCTGCTTTGGTACCCTGGGGAGCTGGCTGGTTATTGGTGTGCAGGTATTGTTTCACAGGGAGGTGATCAACATAAATTATGAGCTGTTGGGGCACTGGGAGCTTCTGGTTTGGGTGTTTCTGTTCGTTATTTACATACAAATGAGTTGAAGTCCGAGTCGTATGCAATTGAGACTGAAAGATGAAGATAATTCTCAGCAAGGGCTGATCCATTTGGCTTTCACCACCACGCCAGCCCAGACAGTGTTGCTAAGGCATGTAATTTATTAAAAAATAATTAGTGATCTGCTACCTGCTGATCATATCCAACAAACCATCTTGCTTTCCATCAGAAAAGCAATGGAGACACAGGGAGCCTGAATCCACCATGCTCAGCATAGCTTCCATGCTAGGAGAGAAGCAGAGGCACGTGCTCAACCAGTGGGAACCAATGATGAGTTCATCACCATCACACCAGTATGGACAGACCAAGCCTGGCAGGATGGTTGAACTCATCCTCCAGCCCATGGAGAAGTTGGGGCAAAGAAGCCATGAGTCAGCAGTCAAGTCTAGGAAGCAGAGTGGGACGTCGGGGAATAAATTACAACACCCAGTCCTTGGTGTGCCTTTCATGGGGTAAATTAACCTGCCCACACCCCAGACTGGGTGAGGAGAGACAGATTTCTCCAAAGGGAAATTCAGAGTGAAGTTGTCTTGGGGGCTTTCGGCTGCGCCCAGATGAGTCGTGGGAGGGAAGAAGCCAGCAGGGCTGGCTGGTTTTCCCAGCATCCAGCTGTGCATCCAGCTGTGATGAGTTCCACCATGGCAAACCCTTCCCAGCCGTGTTATAGAGACCTTTCAGTGCGTCACTGTCCCTCAGAAACTGGGGACCCTCACAGAGAAAAGGGAGGGGGCAACCTGACCTCACCTAAATCCCAGTCTCCTAAAATTTTGGGAGAGGGATTTCCCCTCACAGAATCCCAGAACTGCTCAGATTGGAAAAGCCCTTTAAGCTCACCGAGTCCAACAATGAACCCAACACTGACAAGTCCCCAACTAACCCATGGCCCTCAGCACTGTGTCTACATGACTCTTCAATCCCTCCAGGGATGGGGACTCCACCACTTCCCTGGGCAACCCCTTCCAATGCCTCAGAACCCTTTCAGCAAAGAAATTCTCCCTCACATCCCATCTCAACTGCCCTGGCCACAACTGGAGCCCATTTCCTCTTGTCCTGTCCCTTGGTCCTTGGTTGAACAGACTCACCCCCACCTCTCTACACCCTCCTTTCAGTTGTAGAGACCTTCCCAGTAAGGGATGTTGGAGAGGAATGTCCAGGTACATCCTCTTAATGTAAGTTCATGTGTTTTAAGGAAGATGGGGTGTTTGAGGAGGAAAGGCCCTGCTGCTGCACCTTGGGAAGATACTTTTCTCTTGTTTTCTTTTAAAATTGACTTACTCTTGTGAGAAGGGTTCAGGGTTGGGTGGGGGATTATTTTCATTTTCTTACTACCTGAGCTGATTCTCACTGATTTCTTTAAACAAGGGCCTGGCCACTTTTTTCTGCCTCCAGATGTCCCAGACAATGTGAGAGATCCCAAGTGAGCTGCACATCCCACGAGCAGTTAAATATCCTGGTTTACACTGTATTTCCAGACTTCCTTGTGACCACACTTAATCTCTGGATGGAATAAAGGTATGCAAAAGACCATCAGGAAGGAGAGCAGACAAAGTCTCAAAAAAACCCTTGTTTAAACTTCATTTCTTGCGAGCTACCAACTCCACCCATGCGAAGATTCATGTTTGAGAAAATGTCTTTGCTTTTATAATATCAGGGAGGGAAATAAAACCCGTGAAGCAAGGCATGAATTATGCATGTAGTTTATTGAAGGTACAGCTGCAAGTGTGGAGTAAGCGAAGGGTAATCAACTCTGTTCACTTGCACCTTAAAAGCGTTAAATCCGTCTATCTAGTACACACACAGGAAAAACAACGCATGCATTTAACTACAGACATATAAGGTGCTCGTCGGTGTGTAATTAAAATCGACTCTACCAAACCTGGTGTAGCAACTTGGACCAATTTACATAAGCATTACCAACCCTCTCATAAACAGGAAAAATTGGATTTTTTTTTTTTTTTCTAGTGTCATTAAAGAAGTTCAATAATAGCCACAGCTCCAGTTCAGACAATTAAAATGTGGCTTCTCTTTCTGAAGTTGGGATAACCCAATTTTTCATCCTTTCGCAATAGCTGCATGAGGGAAAGAAAATCCCTGCTGATTTTTTTTTACCAGGGGTCAAGCAGAGGAGAATGATTTAAGAGCCAGGATGATGCGTGAAGAGACGTACGGACACTCTGAAATGAAAATCTCACCTGGCTAAGACCATGGGGGGTGAATTTCCCCCAAGAAGGGATCATAGAATCGTT